CTAGGTGGAGGAGAAATCGGTAAGTCACCGTATAGATCGTATCAAGACTATGAAAAAAAGTATGGAAAGGAAGACGGTGAGGATCATGTTGACCCTGTTGCTGGAAAAAAATGCAGAGAATGCTGAGAGGGCTAGATTTATTAAAAAGTACCCTTACGCCGATATGAACAGGTTTAGGTTTGAAGCTATGACTACAAGTAGTGGTGATATTGGTGTTGTTACATGGTTTGTGGATTTAGATGGTATATCTTCATATGATATTAGATATGACGGTTTCAAGAAGAATAAGGAGTTTACATCTTATCTCACAGGTACTAAGAAAATTATTACCCCCGCACAGTTTATACCTATGACTGACATGAAACAGCCTCCCATTAAGAAAGTACCTAGGGTGACAAGGTCTTCTCCTAAAGTTCCCCTGGAACAGGAAGGATGGCCACATCTTTGGAATAGTAATGGCGCCGTTCAGAAATATAAACCTCTTGTATTTCCAAAGGATCCTACTTACGATGAGAGAAAGTTGGGTTACAGTCGAGTTCTAATTCATGATGATGGCTATCATATTAATACATATCGACCTCCTGTAAGTCTTCCCTACAACTTTAACAACTTTAAGATCTATGTAAATGAAAACAGTTATTTCATGTATAACTTCCCTAATGCTGGTGTAGGTTGGGATGAAGGTCCTAATTTAACTAATAAGGATGTAAGAAAAGTTTCCTTTAATACAATACCATACACTAGAATGTTGTCTGGTGCCTACATAGCTAGCTATCTCAGTGGTGTATCCTTAAAACACATTCGTGAAAGTAATTCCGTTCCTAAAATAATAACATCCATTATGAGGTATCATCTTTACTACACAACTAGAAAGTTAACAGTTAGTAAGGATGCTATTGACAGACTTGGTGTTAACCTTGACATTGTAAGAAAACACATTCCAATAAATCAGAATTATATTATTGACGGAAGCGGTGCTACAACTAGTGCAGGACCTTTATCTGGCAGTGATTACCTTTCATTCATAGCTGAAAAAAGTAATGGCTTTAGTAAGTTGGGCGTTGAGCTTATCCAGGAAAGTATTGAGTCCTATGTGTATGCTATGTTGGGATCTCAAGCTAACACAAGGTGGTCAATAGAAGGAAACGGTCCAAAGGCTCTTCAAACACAACGTGACTTTAGAACTATTGTGAAGTCTACTATTTTACAAAGTAATACGGTAACAACAATTAGTAATATGAGGAAAGCTGTAAGGGACACCAATGTGATTCTAAACACTGCTCTATCCCCTGGAATAGTTCTAATCCCATCGAACTTTATTATTTTAAAAACTCCGATACTTGGTTATAATAACCTTCTAAAGACGGCAACTAATGCAATGAAATTTGGGGTGAATCCTAAGGTAAATTATGTCGGTGTCAAGCAAGTTGATCCTCCAAAGAAACAGCATCAAGATAGCACACCAGTTCACCACCTTGATACTCTTAGTGGAAATACAAAAGTTCCGGGGAGTTCTGTAAGTGTTGTACCTCCTAAGACTAGCACACCTATCACACAGCGTAAGGTGGTCAGTACACGTGAGTCCTTAGGTGATGGTGCTTTAGCTGGACTTGGTATCGGGTCTGTTGCTGTGTTTCTTATATTGAGAACTATTCTGTGAAACATTGTGTATGTTATAAAATGGCTCTCTATAAGGGATATATTAAAGGTGTAAATAATATTGATCCAACAACTGGTAGTGTGTTTGATAAGAATGGATTTACTATGAAGGGTGACATTGAGATGGATGGTAATGAGGTAAAGGGTTTAGGTGCACCAACTGATGATACTTCTGCAGTCACAAGAAAGTGGGTAGATAATGAGATCACTAAACAGGATTCTGTTACAATTAAACCAGTAGGGTTTACAATGACTGGGAATATTAACATGGGAAATAATAAGATAACTAATCTTAAGTCTAATGGGGGTGACTTCAGTGAGGCGGCTAATGTGCAGTATGTGCACACGTATACATGGAACAACTATCTTGCCGCAAATGGCTTCAATAAGATGAAAGGTGTACTGAATGCGGGTGGATTTGAAATACAGGGGCTTACCACAACTGCAAGTAAAAGTGGTAGTGCAGTGTCACGTTTCTATTTATATCAGTGGTCAAATAGTAAGTTCCTACCGCTGGACGGTTCGAGCTCTATGTCAGGTAATATTAGCATGGCCTCCAATGAAATAGTAACACTAGGTGATCCTTCAACTGGTAAGTCTGCAGTTCATAAGGATTGGGTAATTAGCATGTTAAATAGACCTGTATCTGGACTTGATATTGCTGGTGATATTGACATGAAGGACCATGAGATTAAGAACCTAGCTAATCCTACAGACAACACGTCTGCTGTTAGCAAGGGATGGTTTAATTCAAACACCAGCAACTTCCTTAAGCTATCTGGTGGTAACAATCAGTTTATCCACGGTGATGTTCTTTTTGATGAAGTTCCACATACAAGTAAGGATGCCGCCACTTCAAGTGGTCTTATAAGGAAAGCTCTTCTGGATAAAAGTCTGACCTATTACGTTCATCGTAACGGTCTGAATGCAATGACAGGTGATCTTAAAATGGGTGGACATGAAATAGTAAATCTTAAGGATCCAACTACTGACCAGTCTGCTGTTACAAAAAAGTGGGCCACTGATAATAATTTTGTTAATCTTGGAGGTCGTATGTTGGCTGATATATCAATGGCTGGATACAGACTTTTCGGACTACCTGACCCAAGGATTGATAATGAAGCTGTTCCCAAAAAGTGGATTGAAGATAAAATGTCTGTGGTTCCTAGTACCTCAGGTTTTACGATGACTGGTGTTATTAATATGGGTGGAAATGAAATTAAAAATATTGGGGCTCCTAGTGCTGATACATCCGCTGTTAGTAAAAGGTGGGTTACATCAGGATTCACTTTAAATGGTAATCTAACCGTTGCAAATGGTAATTCAATCTATACAATCAACAACCTTGGTGCAAAAATAGCTGTTCCCAATATTCAAACTGTAATCAACCAAATTTCACGCTTTGCCTTGAAATTGGACGGTTCAAATGAAATGACTGGTGTTCTCAAGATGGGTGGAAATGAAATTGAAAATATTGGAGCTCCTAGTGCTGATGAATCTGCAGTTAATAAAAAATGGGTGGAAGATAAGATTAGCGGTGGTAGAAGAAGGCGTGAGACTTATAGCGGACTTACCCTATCTGATGACCTTGATATGGGAAATAATGAGATAGTAAAGTTAGGTGCTCCTACAACTGATAATTCTGCTGTTTCCAAGAAATGGGTCACCGATCACGTCAGCGTGAGTTCAATTAGTAGCGGTGGCTTTGCTATGACAGGTAATATTGACATGGGTGGTAATACTATTACAGGCCTCAGTAGTGGGTCAAGTGGGGATTCCAGTGCTGTTTCCTATGGAGCTATGAGCTTATGGTGTAAACAATTTCTGAAGCGTGGTGGTGGTGTTTTATCAAGCAATCTTGATGTTAACGATTATGAGTTAACTAGGGTAGGTAATCCTACAACTGACGGTTCTGCTGTAAATAAGAAATGGGCAATTGATGAGTTCATGAGTAGTAGAGGTGGACTGGTGAAAGGTGATTTGGATATGGGAGACTCGAGTGGTATTCTTGATCTAAGGGATCCGGTAAATGATAAGGACGCAGTTAACAAACAATGGGTAGAAAAGAATTTCCTAAAACCTTCCTCAGGTCTTGTACAAGCAGTGGCCGATAAGAGATACGTAAGAATAAACCGTCATATTCACACATCATGGATTTGGGGTTATCGGGGTGTATCAGTTGCAGCAACAAGGTACTACGCTTACTGTCACGATCAGATTCCACCTTCATGGAGAACTGAACCTATTAATAATATGACAGACCTCAACCTTGAGTCAATTACTATTAAATCAGATTTCCCTAAGTTTTCAACCATTCAAAATATACCACTAGCTCTAATCTTGTGGGCTACTGTATGGGAAAAGCAGTCTAATGGAAAATTTACCCAGGTTAAAAAGGAAATCACTCTTAGAACAGTAGACTTAAGAAGACTGTCACACACTTGGTTCAATGGAACTTACACAAGTAATGGTGGAAGTACAGCTTGCTATGTCTTCAAGGGTAATAGTATGTTCTATTTAGGGGGCCAAGCTGAGTTGGTAGATAATACGCTGGCTTGGTGTATTATAGTTAAACCAGAACACTCAATGCCAACTGGTACTAGCATGGATATGTCATTCTGCTGGTCACTTCGATATTCAGGGTCAGGAGTCTAACATTTGTTGTAATATAAGAATAATGTCAAGGTGGAGATCATGTCTGTCCTGCTTGGGTAAGATTTGTGGCTGCCGTAAGAGTTCTAGTAAGGATAGGAGGGCTGGTGATATAAATTTCTCTGTATCAAATAATATTAACGTTGGAGTGACTACACAGGGTAAAAAAGATGACTTAAACAGTGTATCCGAACCAGGAAGTTACGGCCCCTTGTGTATCCTCAAGAGTGAAATAAAAGATGCTGAAAAGGCTTTGGAAAAGAGGAATTGAATAAGATTGGTGGAGTTGAAATTTGAAGATTTGAGAAAAGTAAATCGTTTTAATTTAGTTGGAAAATCTAGCGCTAGAAAAACCAATGTGGTCGTCGAAAATAAAATCATGATTAAAAAATTCAGATTGAGCCGGTGGGATTTCGGTTCACGGAAAAATGGTCGGAAATCTGATCATGCTCATTAGCATAAAAATGGTCGTCGACACGCTAGTTGCTATACTACTAGCTGTTATTAATATTGTCACCTGTTCACAGTGCCTGAGCAACTAATAAAATTTTATTCTTCAGTTTGATGTTACTTTGCATTTAATTGTGAAGAAATTTGACTCATAACATGGCATAATTTCCCTTTTCATCATTTAGTTGATTGATCGCTTAAACAAATATGGGATCTGCCTTCATCCAAGAAAGAAGTACATGTTACTTGATGATATTGGTCAACGTTTCCTTGAGCGTGCTGTGGAACTAGTGAAGTCCGGATACAAATTTGTATTTGTATTGGACAATATCGATTGGGAGGAAAGGGTCCATGACATGAGGAAAGACAATCAAAACATGAGTGTGCATGCTGTGGCAACCACCATTGTCTTCAATCGAGTCCCTGATGAGAAATTACCAGATTCAGAACCACAGCAAGATCTACGAAAGTGCAATGTTCATCAGTTGGTGAAGCTTACTGCCTCAGAAATAGAAAGTATAAGAAAGCGGTATTGCAGGTTTGTTCAAGATCTTCTGTTTGAACATTTTCCTTTTTTCAGCTCCTACCAATCCAGCTTGCCTAACAACAGCACATACTGTCGTTATTCTGATGAAATGGCAATGAAGTCAGAAACCATTACTATGCCAGTCCTGATGAAAGACAAAAAAAATATGCAGAGTGTGTAGATGTGCTGGATAAATTAGAAGATTGGACGCATCAAATATACTTTGCTGCTGGATTGTGCCAATCAAGTGAATCAACCCCTTCTTCTGATTCAATTTGTGCTCCGACCCTACCTGCATCTTCAAGTTCGGTTCCTGCTCCATCCCTACCTGCAGCTTCCGGTTTGTTTTCTGCTCAGTCTCTACCTGCCTCTTCTGGTTCTATTCCTGCTGTACAATTAAGTTCTAGACCTGACCAACCTGCCTCACATATCCCACCTACTTCATCTGGTGAAGACCCATTGCACGGAGATAGAGTTCCTTGTTTTGGTGACCAGCTTACTAGGGTCCGTCTTGCTGGTGCAAAAGACCTTCATGCTGGTTGCCATACAGCTAGACAACGTTTAGATCACCTGTATCCATTCTGCATTGTTGACTGGCATACCAAGAGGAGCTACTTAAAGGTAACATGCATGAACTTTTTCATACTTTGATACATAAGCTGCAGCCTAAGTGAGTCATGAACAACTCATATAAACAGTCAAGTTTCCTTAATTAAGTAACAGTTTTTTTACTAGCTTTTATACATCTGAGCTTATTACGAATAAACGGACCTCATGGTTTTATTTTGTGTAAAGGTCAATTTATTCGTAATATATAAGCGTAAATAAGGTATAAATTAAAGCTACAGTAGTCCAAAAGAATCTGTTACAGTACTTAATGAAACTGACTGTTTATACGAGTTATTTGTGATTCGTTTAAGCTGATTTTCCACTTCGCCCGTATCATACCGAAACGTACTGGTGAGCATGCGCAGATTGAAAAGAGATTTATAAATCCATGTACTTCCGGGTGTGTTCGCATATCAAAATAAAAAGCTTGTCGCAAGTCAACTTTTTGCATACTACGGAAGTACTAACCAATCAACAGTCACAAAATTTTGAAATTAAAAAGTTTTTGATATGTTTCGGTATGGTACGCTTGAAGTGGAAAACCAGCTTTAGGCTGCAGCTTATTTAAGCTGAGACGTATGATAACTATTTCCAGCTAGACTGTGGGCAACTCAAATCATTGCTCTTTTAAGCTGGAGTAATACGAGCAACAAAATTGGTGCAAATTGCAACAGAATCTGATTTCAACGCATGTTAAGTAGAAATGTTGACACATGTTGCCTACTGATTTGTAGCCTGCGAGCAGGCACCCAGAGAGCCTGCTCGCAGGCTATGTGATTGCTAATGTATGTGTGAACATTTTCAATTAACATGTGTTGAAATCAGATTTTGTTGCAAAGTTGCAGCAATTTTGTTGCCCGTATTACCACAGGAGGCCCAGGCTCGATTTGCCAGCGCCCGCCTGTGCCTTCCTTATAACGAGGGAAGGAAGGAAACATTGAGACCAAAATAGCCCAGACTTGGCATATGTCACACGAAACTATCCTCGATTATTCGCCTTTAATGCATTCCTTTCACGATTAATCGACATCCCCTGCAAGAATGATACCGTATAACTCTCAAAACAACGATGCTTTAATCAAAGAGCTTAAATTCGCTCTGAAATCTGTGAGGGAATAACAAAATTCGGCCAAAATATATGCGTGTGCCGGGTTTGCTGGACAAAAAGCGGAAGTCGTTGAACAACTCAAAATACACTCAACCCTGATTAGACGACGAATATCAACAAACATTTCAAATTTTCTTAAACAGTACTGTAATAATTTCAATCATACAATCAAAACTATTCACAAACATTATAAAGTGTAAATATTACTGCATGTAAATATAACTGTAGTACGTACGTTAATATGTATAATAAATTGTATTTCACATTGTTAAAAAAATTTGAAATGTTTGTTGATATTCGTCGTCCAATCAGGGTTGAGTGTATTTTGAGTTGTTCAACGACTTCCGCTTTTTGTCCAGCAAACCCGGCATGCGGATATATTTTGGCCGAATTTTGTTATTCCCTCGCAGATTTCAGAGCGAATTTAAGCTCTTTGATTAAAGCATCGTTGTTTTGAGAGTTATACGGTATCATTCTTGCAGGGGATGTCGATTAATCGTGAAAGGAATGCATTAAAGGCGAATAATCGAGGATAGTTTTGTGTGACATATGCCAAGTCTGGGCTATTTTGGTGTCAATGTTTCCTTCCTTCCCTCGTTAAAAGGAAGGCACAGGCGGGTGCGGGCAAATCGACCCTGGCCCTCCTGTGGTATTACTCCACCTTTAAGGCCCATTTACACTTGCAATTTCTGCTGCGATTTTCTTCTGATGCATGTGAACGAGTAAATGAGTTATGAATGTTTTGAGTATATACCTCACTGATGTACCCTCATCTGAACATTCATAACTCAGAAGAAAATTGCAGGATTAAACAGGCCTTTACATGCCTCAAAATGGCAGAGCTTAACTGGATCGACAAATATTCCCCACTTTTTTCACAGGGCTTAACTCAAACTTTCCAAGTTGTGTTTCTTTCATTGAGTCTTTAAGCCCTTGACAAAAACAGATGTGGTTTGGGCATCGTTGGGTCTTAACTTGAAAAGGGCTTAACTCAAAGATTACTTACCTCATATACCACACTTGCTGTATCTTATGTGTGGTAGTCGTGTTAAATTTTCTGTTGTTAACCCGAAACCTACTTTACATGTACATGTTAAAGGGGGGGTCCAAAGTCCCCCCCCCCCCACGGCATACCAGTCAGAATGGCCATACTCATAGCAGGTGTAATTGACTGACCATGTAATTCTTGTGTTACCATAACATGTTTGCTAATGTGCAGTAAGATTATTGAGGCACTTTGATGTTATTGTTTTTAGAGTGTGTTTAAAAGATTATACAAGAGTTCTGCCAGAGAAAAAGGTACCATCAGGTATTTTAGAGAGAAGTTAAACCGGCGCAATGTAACTCTTGATGTGAAACATTTTGAGGACTGTGAACAGTTGTTCATGAGCATGGGTAAATGTTTTGTTGTAGAAGCCCTTTTGGAATTTTTCCAAATGACTGACACAAAGCAAAAACCTTCTCAAAATGCTCCCAATTCTCTGGATGAAGAACAAAAGGATGTGTACATCATCACTACAGTGGAAAAGTTCCTGGATGAGTATGTGTTTTCTGCAACAAATGATGGAGACGATGCATGTATGAGAGACAGTGTGCTATCATATTCAGTTAACCTGATGGCTTCATTCTTGCTGCTGGCTGATTTAAAGAATGCTGTTAAATCTGGTAATGGAGAATACTTGGCAGTATTACGAAAGCAAGCTGCTGGTACATTTCTTCAGTATTCCTGGCTACAAGAGTTTGCCATAGAGATGTTAATAAACATCCTTCAGTGTCAAGTCTTGCTCACTGAAGCAGAGGCACATCAATGTAAGTGGGCCGCAACTGTAAATTGGCATGGCAGTTCTGGTAAGAACATTGAAATAGACCTGTTCCAAGAGAACCAGAACAGCGAGATGAAAAAACTGATAAAGTCTATGGGAGCTAACAAGTCGGAACAAGCTATTTCGCAAGCAAGTAAAGCATGTGGAGGTGTTAAAAAGATTGTTCAATCTTACGAAGAGCATGTGAATATTCACCGAAAGTCCTCTTCCCATTCACATAAGTCTACTTTGAATGATGAAACGGTCATTCTTGGAGACTTGAGGGATTTGAGACCTTTCAAGAACGTAATTGGTAGAGAATTTGAATCATTTCAGGATATTTCTGCTAATCCAATGAAGAAGTTTGATAGTGCTAAATTTCAAACTTGGATTAAATGACACACCAAAAACATATTATTACATTATCCTGTTTTTGATAATGATGATGAAGATGACAGTGAAGATGACAATGAAGATGTTTTTGATGATATCAAACAATAATTAACAGAACTTTGCAAATTTCCTAATTCTAATATTCCAGTGCAATTTTAATATTCCAGTGCAATTTTAATATTCCAGTGCACAATGTAATTTTAATGTTTCAATATTGTCCATCTTTCAATGTTAAGCATAACTTGAATAAGTGATTTCAATTATCCAAAAAATAAAATCCCAAGAGTTTGATCGAATTGTTTCAAAGAGTTAACAATGTATTCAATTCGGTTCATTGAATACATTATTAACAATTTTGCCTTATCCTTAAGGCATGAAAAAGATTCAACTCACATATAATTAATATCCATTTCAGTCTTAACATTGATAGGGACATAAGAAGTAAATGTAAATAAATTTATCTAACATTAGTGTATTATAAAACAAGCTAATAACAAACCATTAGTCATGTTTTAGCTTGCTAATCTGAGTTTAATAAATGAATGCAAAGCGTGACTCCTGATGAAGACACTAGACTGGATTCTCAAAACATTGGGTGTGTGACTCGACTTTGCATTTATTTATTAAAACCAGAGTAGCAAGCAACTGATATTATACCAGGTTGCTGAAAACTCACAAACAAAACATTGATTTATAGAATGTATTAAAGTTTATAGTTCCTGAAAGTCTTCAATTAATTGTTGCAAGCACTCTGAACACTCACAGGCCTTCTCGCACACACTGCAACATAGGTGTAGTGGATTTTTTTTCTCGTCATATAAGTAATCAAGTGACTTCAGGAGTTCTTTTCTCAGGCATTCTTTATTTTGATGGCAAAATCCCTGTTATTATAATACAGTATGGCATCAGCTGGCCTCCCATCCCTACCTGCTCTTCCTGTCTCTTGAAAATACTGCTTTACAGAACATGGGGGACTTATATGTATAACTTGACGGATATTTGGTATATCCACACCCATCCCAATAGTGACGGTTGCAAACACCACACAAACAATGCTATTAGTTGAGCACATCTGACGTAATATTCCAACTTTCATCTCTGCAGTTTGAGGTGCATGGAACTGTGCAAATAGTCTATTATCTGGTATGGCATGTGCTCCTTCTGGAAAATACTGCTTGTGGCATAGGATTGACTCAAACAACCTATAGGCAAAACCACACCATCTGAGGGGTAGGTAAATTATGGTCAATGGAAAGTTCAGTTTTGATGTTAACAATTCATTGGATTGCATCAATATCCATTCCAGAACTGATGAACCGATATACTTTATTATTATTATTTATATTAGGTTGAACAGTTTAAGTTAGGATTAATAAGGACACTTAGGATTAGTCACGGACAGTAGATACATTGAGGGATACTGTGGGATAAAGTAGGATATGGGAGAAGACAAGATGGCGGCGTAAACAAAATGTAAGCTATTTCGAAAAGACAAAATTATAACGTTTAAAGACTAAAATATATTTGGCGACAAGGATTAAAAAGCTAAAACAAAAAGAAAACCAGTCACTACGCACTAATACACACATTCTAATACAATTCCGGCCTCTACACACCTCGTAAGAAGACAAATTCATCGGCCACGTAAGTGAATATATCGTGTTAATATATCATATAAACATCAAAACTACAATGGCTAGTGGCAATACACTTCACTTCGACCCAGATCTTCACCCAGACGATACTCTAAAAGCGTTTAATGACTTTATACAATCATTCTACCTACGCTACGAAGCACAATACCCTGATCCACCAAAAGTGTCTATTGACGCTGCAATTGAACGATGGAAACTGGCCAACGAAGAAGCCAAACCAACTCTGGAACAATACGATACGCTCAGGAATGAGTGGAGATCAAAAGATCGAGTTGCAAAATTTCTTGGAATGTTCTCTTCGAGACGAATGTACGCGGATTGGCAAGTTGCCGAACCCGATGTAACAAAAAGAGCACAGGCGACATGGGAGTATTTCGTTGCCCAAATCCAAGCATATTATAAGCCAACAGAAAACCTTACACTTAAGAATCACAAGTTTCGCACACTTACTCAAGCTACACAAGAGGCATTCCCTGCTTTCTGTAATCGTGTGTACAAAGAAGCCCAACACTGCAACTTCAAATGCCAAAATGATGACTGCACGGCAGAAGATACAGCAATACGAGATCAGATAATTATCGGGACAATCCATGACAAGATCAGAGAAGAAGCCCTCAAGAACTCTTGGGACTTACCAAAACTACGCAAAGAAGGAATGCAAATCGAAAGTGCAACTAAAGGGGTTAATGAGTTAAATAATGAGAACCCAATTAACAAAATGGGGAAATATTCTTATAAAAACTTGAAAAAGAAACAGCAAACAGGAAAACCACGAGCATGCTACTACTGCGGACAAGACATCAAAGCATCTATAATAGAACATGTCAAAACCTGTAGAGCGAAAACCAGCAAATGCAATTTCTGCGATACAATTGGACATTACGAGTCTGTTTGCAGAAAAAAGAAAGCTGTCAGAGAACTGACAACCATCAACCCAGAATCACAGCCTCGACATGAGGAAGATGCCGAAGACTCTGGTATCTACAACATCAACATCTTCAGAGTCACCGATACTAACCCATACCAACAACACCATACCAGTCTAAGAATGAAGGAAGATTTCAAAGTGCAAGTCATTGTCAACAATAGCCTTGCTACTGTCTTAGCAGACACTGGGGCAAGTATTAGTGTTTGCGGAAAGGCAGAAGCCAAACGATGGAATCTTCTTTCGAGAATGGTCAAAACCCAAGCTAAAATCAAACCATACAACAGCCCACCCATACCAATATCTGGCACCACCAAATGCGCCGTAACGTTCGGAAATTCATCCATCCCAGTAGAATGGCACATTATCGACAACCCCTGCGAACTGGTACTTGCAGGACGAATCGCAGAAGAGCTCGGTATCATAAAGTTTGACGCCAAACCAACAGTTTTTCAACCTGTACAAATGATACACTCGACTGACAATAAAGAAACACTGCAAAACATTTTGCAACAGTTCCCACAAAATTTCGAAGGCTTGGGGAAGTTGAAGAACCACCAAGTCAAGCTACATGTAGACACCAGCATCAAGCCAGTCACCACACCTGCCAGACCAGTGCCATACCACCTGAAAGAACGGGTCACAAAAGAAATCGAAAAGATGATTAAACAAGACGTAATCGAGGAACACCCAGCCACCAAACCAGCTCCATGGATCTCCAATGCCGTGATAGCGCCGAAAGCTGACGGAGCAATACATATGACACTTGACGCTCGTAACGTCAACAAAGCCATACAATCGTCGTCCAACTTACCCATCCCCCGGCAAGAAGACATCAAAGCCAAACTCAGTGGAGCAAGTGTGTTTTCAAAGATGGATTTCAAATCGGCTTTCTGGCAACTAGAACTGCACCCGGACTCGAGATATTTGACAGTCTTCCACGCAAATGACAAACTATACCGATATAAACGTCTCACCATGGGAGTAAAGCCTGCACAAACTTAATATGGCTCTTCAACCTTTGTTTGCAAACATCCCCCAAGCACACCTTATCCATGATGACATAATCGTGGCAACCACAACAAACGCAGAACACAACGAAGCAATCGAAGCCGTCATGAACGCCATATCAAACGCCGGTATTACACTAAACCCGGATAAGTGCACGTTCGGAGTACCAGAAATCGGATTCTGGGGCCTACGTATTGGATCAGACGGCGTACGACCCGATCCTGCCAAAGTTGAAGCTCTTGACCATATGACACCACCACAATCCAAGGAAGAGTTGACCAGTTTCCTGTGTATGATGCAGTCTAACTCAGATTTCATCCCCAACTTCGCTCAGTTAGCGGCTAAACTGAGAGAATTAACGAAGAAACACGCCAGATTCGTGTGGAACACAGAATACCAAACAGCCTACGAAGTCCTGATTGCGAGATTCAAGCAAAACACGCTGCTTCAATACTTCGAGATGAGTACACAAACGTTTCTATTTACGGATGCACACCAGACAGGGCTCGGGGCGATGTTAGCACAAGGAGACAGCATCGAGAACGCACGACCAGTGGCGATAGCATCGAGAACGACCAACGCAGCAGAGCAAAGATATCCGCAAATTGACTTGGAGGCACTCGCAATCGATTTTGCTTTGAGAAGATTTCGACAGTATATCGTGGGTTCCCCTACCAAGATCCAAGTGATAACGGATCACCAACCTCTCTGCTCGATTTTCAATGGAAAACGCCAAGGGTCCATCCGAACTGAAAGAATCAAGCTCCGCCACCAAGACATACGTTTTACCGTGACATATCAGCGTGGGAAAATCAACCAATCCGACTACCTCTCACGACATGCAAAACCCATTGAGAAGCTGACGCGCGAGGAACGGCAAGAAGCCGATGACCTCAACAACCTACTGTATATGCTTCACACCACCCCGATCAT